TCTTAATTGATATAAATAGGACACACATGTGTAAATACCAAATAGTTTCTCTAGTGTGGGAAACTGAAAGTGTAAATAAGGACTAAAAGGTATAATAGGTAATGTGAAATAGGAAGAAAAGGTGCAGGGGGAGAAGGGAAAGTGGGAGGAGTAGGGGAAAAGAATGAAAGGAATGGAATTAATATGAGAAAAGGAGAAAATGGAAAAAATGTCTTTGTAGATAGGGAGGGGGGGAGGGGTTAAAGGGAGGGCAGGAGAAGAGGAAAAAATAAGAAACAAGATGGATTACGGAAAGGTGCAAATTTCCAATGATGAATGTCATTATATTGTATACCTTAAATGTACCAATAAAATTAATAACACTTAAAAAAAAAAGGATAAATGGGGCTGGGGATTTAGCTCTGGTTCCAGGGCCTGCCCCACAAGCACAGGGTCCTCAGTTCAATCTCTGGTACCAAAAACAAAACAAACAAACAAAAGAATAAATGGCAAGTATATTTAAGCTGGAAAGGGTAGAAAGATATTTTAAGAGACTACTCATTAACCCAAGTGAATGTAGGAAAGTAGATTGAGATTAAGACATTCTGGGATCCCATACATGTCCTTGGGTACACACACATACACACACACACACACACACACACACACAGAGCCACCACTGCCCCTAAGGTAAGGTCCAGGATATAACCTTGGTCTTCCACACAAGCAAAACAGATGTGAATCTAACTTTTCTCCTAAACATTTTAAAAGCTTAATAACTATGCTTCTAACAATCTCTAGAATAAAAACATGTGACTCAATCAAGAAACATATCAAGATGTGTTGTGTCCTTGATACTAATTTCAGAAATCACTTTGTGTTTTCCTATGCAGCTTGCATAGGAAAACTGCCTCTTAGCAACAAATTCTCAGGTTACAAGTGGGGAACTTTAAGTCCTTTTCAAACTCTGAGCTTTCTGATATAGTTTCTGTGATAGAAGGGGAAAAACAGTCAAGCTAGGAAAGAAATCCTTTTGTACATGTGCAAGGCATATGAGACAGTCAACTGTTTACACAGGAACCAGCAAATATTTGTGTTAGTGCACCAAGCGGGACAAGTGAGTCAAAACAGGGGGGATTAAAGAAATCTTGCAGAACCAAAAACTAGAATGACTTGGGATCCTATGTTAAACAGAGCCAGAGTTAAAAACAGCATTGGCCTACATGTTTACGTGCTTTACTTTTCAAAATAATGTCTAGCCTATTTCTTTCTAGTCTCATGATATTCCATAAGAATATTTTCATTTCCTATAAGAAATCTTTCATTCTGCAGAGGCATAGAGCCTCTGGACCCCTTGCTGTCAGCCCGTCTTCCTTATTTCCTCAAGGGGGGTGGCTGACTGCCCTCCTTCACCACATGGAAAGTAGGTTCCCATCTAGGTTTGGTCAATGAAGTATCAGTAGTCAGGGAACAGAGAGAGGAAAAGGCCAGGAGACTTTTGCCCCAGTTGCCTGATCCTTTGCTCCTCTGGCAGTGGCTGCATTCTGTCATGGCCACCACAGCCCTGGAGGGGCCTCCCCCATGTTCCAGCCACCTCCATGCACCCCACTTGTGGTAACCCCCAAGTTTCACCCCCTCAGACCAGAATGGGATGGTGCCCACCCATTCATCAAAGCTCTTTCCTGCACCCCACCGTGTGTTGGTTGCCCTACACCTGCCCACTCATTCACAGAAGTTTCTTTCATTTTGTGCTTTTTCTTCTTGGGAGCCTAACTAATAAACTTGCTTTTCAACCCCCCACAGCAAATTAACATACTGGCAGGAGCAAACAGCTTTTTGTTAGCCTATAGGACACCTCTCTTTCGGTTTCAGTCCCTCTCCCACATGCAAACTGGAAGTTGGGAACTCTTCAGAGGATGTCAGCAATAATACAGTTCTTTCCACTAAACCAGAAGTTCCCACTTCATTTCTGAGCATCACAGAGCAGTAAGGCAAATGTCCCACTGGCAACACGTGGGCAGAGGCCAAGGATGCCACTAAACATCCTATGCTGCACAGGGTATCATGGCCACACCACACACACACACACACACACACATACACACACACACACACAATGGAGTTATCCAGCCTAGTGTCAACAGCATCAAGGCTGGGTGAAGCATCATGCAGAATGGATTACAGATGTGACATTTCTCCTCCTTCCTTCTACAGGTCCCTCGTAAGCACTGGAATCATTGTCCCAAAACAAGGCTAGTGACAGAGTAGGTGGAAGGATTAAGGAGAGTGTGGCTTCTCAGGCAGGACCAGTGCTAGCCTGAGAGGTTCAGGGGCAAAGGTAAAGTGTCCCTCACCTTCCAAATAAACTTTCCTCTCGCAGAGGGAGTTAGATATTTCAAGACCTAGCAAGGAAAATTTAATATGGGACAAAAGTCTGGAAATGCACTCATCAAAATATTAATGGTAATTATGTCTCAGTGGCAGCATTTTTAGAGATTTAGTTTCTTAATGCTTACCCACACACTTTAAAATTTTCTGTAACTTTTTTTTAGAAAGATTAATGTAATTACACATAATTCTAAAGAGTGAGAAAGCATGCCACATTCACTGATGGCATTTCTCAAAGCCCCAATTCCTTAATTGAATAGACTTTCATAGGACAATATCTCAAGGTCCCCCAGAGATAAAGTCCATAGCACTTCTGCACAGCAAAGGAAACAACCAACAGAATGAATAGAAAACCTAACAGAATGGGAAGCTGATTTGGGGGGGGGGGTGATTTGTTTGTTGGTTGGTTGGTTTTTTTTGGCAGCCTTCTTTATTTTTTTGTTTTAAGACAGGGTCTTACTAAGTCATAAAGTTGCCCAGGCTGGGCTCAAAGTTCTTATTATCCTCCCTCTGCCTCATAGAATACTGGGATTACAGGCATGTGCTACCATGCCCAGCTCCAAAATGTTATTTAATTAAAACTTAATTTGAGGATAGGCATAGTGCCACACATGTGTAATCTCAGCTACATGTGGGGCTGAGGCAGGAGGCTTAGAAGTTTGAAGCCAGGCTGGGCAACTTAGCAAGATCCCTGTCTCAAAGTAAAACCGTAAGAAGGGCTGGACGTGCAGCTCAGTGATAGAGTGCCCCTAAATTCCATAACCAGCACTGTCAAAAAATTTTTTTGATGGGAAATTAAGACATTTATCTGCAGAAAAATTCAATTTCTTTTTCAAATTCCAAATAAAAGGCTAAACATCAGCTTGTGTCTAAAACCTTAAATATATCACGATGGCAAAAACAAATGGCCCAACTTGTTACTACTGACACATATGATCATGTAACGGGAGTCCTGGGTGTCCAAGGAGAATCAAGAATGAAAATGCTGCCCCAGGCCTGTATGGGGGCCCCTGCCAGCCCGAAGTTCCAGAGCAGCACTGCCTCTACACAGAAGCTCATGCAACTTGAACGTTTTATCAGACTTTACACTTATTTTATAAAAATGCGTAGATTAAAAACTAAATACAAAGATAGAAATTAATAATCATGGCTCAAAGTGACAAATCTTTGACTAATCAAATGCTAAACCATATGAGCAGAGGAGTACAAAGAATAAAAAGAAAGAAAGAAAGAGCATGTATATAACAGTGGGAAAATGCTTTCAGCTATTCCTAAAAAAGTCAAGTAGAGCTAGCGAGGCTTTCATAGTCCTCACCTCTCTGGATACAGAACTTCCCTTATAAAACATTAACTTCAGTATGTGTTTTTTCTGGAAAGTATAATTTAAGGAAAGGATCTACATATTTATTAATATAATTTTGGGAACAAAACTGAGCAATATACCAATATCCTGTATTTCAATGATTTCAAAAACTTCTTGGAACTACTACTACTTAAATTACATTAATTATGGGAGCAAAACAAACCTTTTGGCACCGCACTACTTGTTTTGTGGATGATAATGAGGATGAGAGCCAACATTTATTGAATTCTTACCCTGCTGAAATCCCTCCAAGTCAGTAGTGTGACTGCCCCTACTTCTGCAAATGGGGAAACTGAGGCCACAAGAGGTTAGCTAATGTGTCCAAGATTGCACAGTAGTATATGATGGAAATATTGTATCCTATAAAGTTAAGTTTAAAACATATCAGGACCCCAACTCGTGTATACGTACAATGCTTACATTTTAAAGAAGGTATAAACTCATTATTGCTATATTTCAGAGCACTTCCCGTGTACAGTGACCCCCACAAAGACATCTATGTAGCACACATTTCCAGGGCGCGGGGCAGGCCTGGTGCTGGGCATCTGAGTCCCGCGGAGACCCGAACTCTCCACGAAAACCGAAACCACACTTCAAAATGAAATACGGATTTTAGTTTTTAAAATGTCTCGCCCGCGTCCTCGCGCCAGCCGGGACGTAGATGACAGAGACAGCGGGCCTGGCTGGGCCGCTCCAGCTCCCGGCCGCGCGCCCCCGGACCCCGCGCGCCCCCGGACCCCGCGCGCCCCCGGACTCCGCGCGCCCCCGCTGCCCCGTCCCCAGCGCGCTCCTCACCTGAGCCCTGGGCTCCACCTCCCGCCCCTCTGCAACCTCCAGGAGCAGCCGCCTCCGGAGGACCCAGGTCTGAGGCCTGGGCGGCTGCCGGCTACGATTGGCTGTGGGGCGGAGCGGGACGCCCGGGGAGGCGGGACAGGAAGGATCCTAAGGCCGGATGGCCTCCCCGGTCCCTCTCTGGTCCCCTGCCAGGCGAGGGGTGCGTCGCTGTGGTCCTGCTCGACCCCTGCTGCCCTTTGGGGCCCAACTCAGCAGGTGCCAAAACTTATAAAAATAAGCCCTTTGTGAGGAGTACGGATTCAGGGAGGCGGGTGTCAGCGATTCCCTGCAAGGAAAAGAGCACTTCCCTAGCTAGCAGCCTGGTCTCTTACCCCCGGGAATGGCGGGAGAGTGGGGAGGGAGTCTGGGAGGGAGGAGCAGGGATCCGCTGGGCAGAGTGTGGGTCCTGTGGGAACCGGGGGCGGGGCTTTAGGGTGAAGGAATGACATCTCCGGTCTCAAAGGCAGGAGTCTGACTGGTAATGTTGACTGGCAATTCCTCCCACCAAAGATTTCTTAATTCCGTGACCTGACAGGCCTGACTAACCCGGAGCGGGGCGGGGGGTGGGGGGGGGTTGGGATGCAGAGAGAAAAGCAAGTCTTTTATCCCCAGCCTGGGCCTCTTTCCTGGACTCCTGCTCCTCTGTTCAGCCACCCAGTTCTTACCTCTTCTTGGGTATCTGAAATACATCTCAATCTGAACGTGTCCCATCCTGCCTCTGATCTCAAGTTTCGCCATCTCAGTGGCAACCCTACCCTTCCAGTTGTGTCACCGAGAACCTCACTGTTATCCTTGACTTGTGGGCCCAGGATCAGGGGATTCTGTTGCAGAACGCAGAGAGTGACAGTTTCTCACCCTTATGTCCAACGTTGCCCACCTGGGCTATTAGAGTGGTCTCCTCCCTGTTCTCCCTGCAGTCTGTTCCTTGCAGCAGCCACAGAGACCTTTACAAAGTCAAAGCCAGATCAAATCCCTTCTCTGCTCAAAACCCTCCCAGTGGTTTACCATTTAACTCAGAGTAAAAGCCAAAAGCCTGCACGGTCTGCCTTCCATTGCTCTCAGTCTCACTGCTGCCTTCCCCTTGGCTTCCTTGCTCCAGTCCTTCTGACTTCCTTGCTATTCCTCTATCAAGGAAGGCAGACTTCTGCCAAAGGGCTCTTGCACTGGCCCATCCCTTTGTGGAATGCATAGCTAACTCCCACCCCTGAACTTTGCTCAAAAGCTATATTACACTGACAGCTACCCTGACCACCCCCCTCAAAAGTAACTCCTGCCCAGCTCCTGACTTCCTCAGAGTTATTTCTTCCCATAGCACTTGTCACGCTCTAGTTTACTCTATTATTTTTTTATTTACTTGTTTGTGATCTGTGTTATGTTTGATGTCTAGATGTCTCCCCAAAGCCTCATGCAATCATAAGTGGGGCATTTTAGGAGGTGGCTGGATCTAGAATGTGTCATGCTGGGATAAGGGTGTGTGATTACTAAATCAGTCCACTGATTGGTTTGGCACCACCCTAATTCTGGGACCTAGATAGAGTGCAAAAGGGGCAGAAAGAAGCTGCTAAGGTCCCTTGCTTGCTTTGCTACCTTCTGCCCATCATGAACTGTTTTTCCTCTGCAATTCCTATCTGCTGTGCCACCCTGCTTTGGAGCCAGCTCATTATGGACTGAAACCTCTACAAATTATGAGCTAAATAAACCTTTCTTCCTTTAATTTGAGGTGTCAAGTATTTGGTCTCAGCAACGAGAGAAAAGTAACTAAGACAATCTGTCTCTTCCATCCACTCAACCCTGCCCCTGCCTCTTGAACTACAATATGCCCTTTCTCAAAAAGATAACTGCCACCAGAGGGACATCAGCATCTTTTCACTGTCAACCCTTAAGTCACAAGCCATATTCTGGAATCTCTATACACAATCACTTTAAATAAACCACAAAGAGAAGGGACAATTCCTCAAAATGAAACGCTGAATTCTGTTGGCAGGAGAAGGAATGCTGGCTAAGCAAAATCATAGATGAGCACTTGCTGAGTCAGATCGTCACACCCAGAGGAGCTCGGGGAAAGATGTGAGTGAAAGCAGTTTAAGGATGTGACACCCAACACCCCAGCATTCTTGTAATGTTATGTTATGAGTGTCTTAGTACATTTTATGTTCAATTTCAACTTCATTTTTAGTAAGACCATTCCATTGTATTAGCCTTCTCGCCTTCTCCAACCTGAAATACTTGGAGGTAGTTTGGGAGAACAGTAATATGCAGCCTTAGGTCACAAGAGCAACCTTACATGATCAGGAAATAGGGTCCAGCTCCATTTCTCTGTTATTCTCCTTGTTCTCTTCTCTCTATGTGTAGCAGGATATTAAAGTATAGATTTTGATGAAGACAACAAGATACACTAGGTGTGAAATTCTAAGATCTGATCTCCAAAGATTTAAGAAGGAATCTGAGAGTGGAGAGAGGATTCAGTGACGAAATCTCTGACAGACCCCTTGCTGTGCTATATGCCCCTCATCCCCATCATGGGAAACTTGGGGATGACTATTTCTTTCACACCACAGCTGCAGGCTTCCTCAAGTCTATTTGAGAAACTTGATGTGTATGTTGGTGCACATGGGGAATTCCCTAGGCTGTCATCTACCTCTCACCTGGGAGAGCATGGGAGGGCTAGGGGCAGAAACACCAGTGTACTGCTGTGCTGAGTTGGCCAGCACACACCATGTGTGTTTGTTTCCTGTGGATCAGTGATGGGCCGTGCAGGACAGAGAATCCAATAAGGCTGCCTGGAGGGGCAAAGGTTGCCCTCAGCAGAGACATGTGGGTGAATGCCAGGTGTGGAAAGATGAGGAAGAAGTCTGAGTGTAACCACCATGGAGGAGACTCGCTGGGGGACAATCTGACATTGTATTAGTCACTTTTGCATCATTGGGACAGACTATCCAACATCCACAATTTTAAGGAGAAGAGGGTTTCCAGAGGGTACAGCTTAAATTTGGCTGGCTCCAAGGCAGAAATGGCATGGTGGAAGGGCCTGGCAAAGGAAAGCCACTCAACCCATAGCAGCCAGGAAGCAGAAGAGAGAAGGAAGAAGCTGGGGACCAGATTACATCCTTCCAGGTCATACCCATAGTAACCACCTCCAACCAGGTCTCACCTCCTAATAACATATTTGGCCACAGAACTCATCAATGGATGAAGACACTGATGAGTATAGCACCCCTATGATTCAATAAACTTCAAAATAGATGAGAATGCAGGGGACTATTTTAGATCTAAACCATAATATGCATGATCATCTCCAAAGGGTTTGTGAAAAGCTCAATCCAAAAATTAACATCATATATTGTCATGGCCCACTGAGCTGCTATGACAAGATACTTAGGTGATTTATACATAGTAGACATGTAATGCTCACTGCTCTGGGGTCTTGGAAGGTCTATGATCAAGATGCCAGCAGATTTTGTGTCTGGTAAGGGTTCACTTTCTGCTTCAAAGACAGCGCTTTCCTGTTACAAACATGATGCAAGAGGTAAGATAGGTTCCTTCAACCTCTTTGATAAGGGTACTACTCCTTCTCCGAACCTCATGATGCAATCATTTCCCAAAGGTTTCAACTCTTAACATTATCACACTGGCTATTAGTGTTATGGTTTAGATCTAAAATGTTCCCCCAAAGTATTATGTATTCAGGGTGCAGCTGTTGGAAGGTGATTGAATCATGAGGCTGCTATACTCATGAGCAGATTAATCTATTGATGAGTTCGTAGTTAAATGTGCTGTCAGGAGGTGCGTTACTAGGGATGCTACTTGGAAGAGTGTATTTTTGTCCCCATTTCCTTCCTTCCTCTCGCTGTCTCTGCTTCCTGGCCACTATGTGGTCAACAGCTTTCCTCTGTGATGCCATTCTACCATGTTGTTTATGCTTTGAATCCAGCCAACTGAACCCACTGAAACTGTGAGCCAAAATAAACCTCTCCTCCTTTAAGTTGTAGTAAAGTGTCAGGTATTTTGTGTCAGTGATGGGAAGGTCACTAATACAATTAGGTTCCAACATAAGGCTTTTTGCGGGGATCCCAACATTAGACAATAGCAGGTCATACATCCCAGAACTGTTACAGTAGGAACAGTTCCCTTGGGTTCCATTTGCTATCAGTTGCCAGCCAGAAGCCTTTCAAAATCTCCTCACAGAATCAGCAAGTTACTTATAAATTCAGTTTGCTGTATTTCAGAAAGTTTGCAATTATGAGATGTTTTCCCCTCTGCATTTTGTCTCATCAAAATGTCAGGACTTGTTTGACTTTAAAACTCACACATACTGACTTCTACTTCTTTACCAGAAATGCAAAAATCACTGGAATGATAGGGGTGGCTAAAGATTCGGAAATTTTCTACTTAAACTATTTAGTTTTAGGTTTCTCTCTGCCCTTCCCAGTACAGAGTTTTCTGTAGTGTTAACACCAATTTTGATAACTTCATTTTAGAGCAAATTAAAACACATTGGCTCTAGCTACAGATCCCTCCCCCTAAGAATATCTGAGTGCAATTTGAAGGCTTATAGAGCATTGGTAGAACTAGGCCCATGGTGCCATCTAACCCCAGGACATGCTGGGAAATACAGGGCCTGAAGTCTGTAGTGGGATTTAGTCTATCCACCACCTAATTGCACTGTGTCATCCATCTTTCTACGAATGTTCACTGAACACATACTGTGGGCACTGGTGCAGGGCACTGGGAAATCATGTTAAAGAGACACCTCTGGAACACAGTACCTGGAGGAAGTCATAGATTTGGAAGGATCTCAATCAGAAGCAGGAGAGTCAGCATCCAGCAGGCAGGGCACTGGTTTTGACCCTTTCTGAGATGCAGTCTGAGGAGGAGGCCACTGAGGAATGCCCTGTATGTATAGGTGGGAGTGATAAGACAGAAAAATGGAAAGTAAATGTGAATGTGACCTTGTTTACAAACATAAGTGACAGAAGTCTGAGGAGGACATCAGATAAATGTCTGTACATTCTATAATATACAGCACAATTCACAATAGTTAAATCTTGGAGGCAGCCCATATGTCCATTAACAGATGAATAGATTAAATAAAATGTGGTATTTACACACAATGGAGTACTACTCTGCCATAAATAAGGGTAAACTTGAGTCATTATAGGAAATACAGGATGAACCTTGAGACCATAAGGTTAAATGAAATAAATCAGACATACAAGCTTAAATATCTCATGAATTCTCTATATGAGAAATCCAAATTATAAATAAAGAGCAAAATAATAGACAGGCAGTAGGAATCAGGGAGATAGATCATTCTCAAATGGGAAGTGGATTAAGAGATAGAAGAAGAGGGGAGGGAAAGGGGATGAAAAAGGAATTAA